AGTGGAATTGCTGGGTCAAATGGTATCTCTATTTGCAACTTTCTGAGAAAGCGCCATACCGCCTTCCACAGTGGTTGCACCATTTTATACTCCCACCAATAGTGAATAAGGGTTCCAGTTTCTCCACAACCTTGGCAGCATTTGTTGTTGTTCTGTTAAATTTTGCTATTCTGTCTGGGGTGAGATGATATCTCATAGTTGTTTTAATTTGCATCTCTCTTAGAGTTAGGGATTTTGAACATTTCTTCATGTGCTTGTTAGCCATCTGAATGTCTTCTTCAGTGAAGTGTCTGTTCATATCCTATGCCCATTTTTCTATTGGATTATTTACCTTTATCTTGTTGTGGTGACACCTTTGCTTTTTAAAACTTTAATGATTTCTAACTTATGGGGTGCAAGCAGCTATAACAGAGACACTACATAGTAAAGGTTTTAAAAAGCAGAATTTTGTTCTCTTTCAATTTGTTAGGTGGCACTGAGGTAACTTTAACTCATAGAGAGCTTAAGTACAACTGAACAACCACAAAACCCCAGAGGATCCTACACCAGTCTCAGAATCTCTGCTGTACTTAAGTCTATTGCTCCAGTCATCAGGTCAACCCACCCTGGTAAGGATCTTGCTCTCTTCAGCAACTTTTTGCTTTTTTCAAGCGTGATGCCCTTCTCCAGGAACTGGAGAGCATATTCAAATTAGGTAAAATGAAGTATCACCATCTTTGTTTCAAAGGACTCTGTTTTCACTTTATCAAAGATAAATTTGTTTGTTCTTTTCCATTAAAAGTCAATATTCTCTACTAAAACCCTGATGGGGCAGTACTTAAGCACTTCACTGCTAATAGAAAGGATACTGTTGTTGTTTATTATCAAATCAGAGTGACCCACAGCTGACCCTCCAGGAGGTTTTCATAGGAAGTAAATCAGATTGGAAGAGACTGCCCATCTTTCTCTTGTGGAGCAGCTAGTGGATTAAAATCATGTACCTTTTGTATAGGCAGCACAATCCCTTGTCACTAAAGCAGGTGCCACTCTGTCAAAAAAGATACAGCAATCTGTTTCCTTAAAGGCTATAGCCTGAAACCTTATGAGGTTGCTACAGAGAGATTATGACTTGGAATCAGTTCAACAAAAATGGGTTTGGTTTCAGCAAAATGTCTGTTAAATACTTAAGAGACAATAATAAGATGTGACATCTGCTGCCAAGGACCTCTTTGAGGTGGTAAAGAGCAACATGTCACCTCAAAGACTAAGGTGTGTCTGAATCAAGTCATGTTATTTTCAACTTTTTCACATGTATGTGAAAGTTAAGAGAATGAATAAGCATGACTGAAAAAGTACTGATACCTCTGACATCACATATTGCAAAGAGAAC